AAAAAAATAGTTGAAAATACCCGATATTGATTTCAAGCAGACAAAATTAAAGCTACACTATTTAATAATTAATTCAACAAGTAACAAGTAAATTTTGGCTCAAAGGCACTCTAATAGGAAATTATCCTACAAATATGGAAAAAAATTTGAAATTTAGATGCGAAAACATTTTAAACAGAGTCCGAGGAATATTTCCTGAACGATTTCAATCAGGCACCGATTAGTTTTTGATACCATCAAAAGTAATACCTGCGACGCGATTGTCAGAATTGCGATCGTGGATGTGCACTTCCTCCATGGGTTTTGCATGTATCTTGAGTTACTCGACGTGCTTTGATCGCGACGGAGGATTATTCGCTCGGGTGAAAATAGAGCGCGCGAACAACACCTTGCGTCAGGCCGAATCTATAATTAGATTCGCGGCCGAGAGGAAAATTGTAAAATACGAGCTCGGCTGCATGAATCTCGAGGGTCACATGCGCGCTTTTACGTAGATCCACGAGAATTTACGTTCGCGGTACGGAAATCCGGAAGATTATTTCTATTATTATTTTTCGCGTTTTATCGGCCTTTCCTTTTCTCAATATAAATTCGTCGTAAGATCGAGGCGTAGCGCGGACGTGCGCGAGTTTGCGGAACGGATGTTCGTAGCGGATACTTGTATAGACGCGAGTATTGTCTCTTGGTCAATAACGCGCGATTAGCAAAGAATTCCAAAACGATACATACTATCGAGATATCGGAAAATTCCGCGAAACCTCTCTCAAGGCTTTCAACGATTTTATTTATACTCGCTTTGTTATAAAAGATTTCCCCACGTAAACACAGGGCGTCAATCCAGAAATTGTCTGACATTAATAGATTGCCTGCTCCCAAGGAATACATATTTCCGTTGTGCGAATGAGAAATCAAGGGATGGTAACGCGGTACGATGCGAAGGTTTATGCAACGCGTCGATCCGGTCGTATAAACCGTGATAAATTGTCATTGTCGCAACAGATTTAGACCAGTACTCACAGTCAGTTCTTATATGTTTAAGACGGTCTTGAGTACCATCTTGAGATGTCGTAAGTCAATCACAGAACTGGATTTGCATTTTAAGACATTACTTAAGACAGTCCTAAAATAAGAACGGACTATATGAATACCTCGGGAAAATCAGACGCACGCGAGTAAAAATTTAATTTTTTTGTCCTTCCCATTTTCCCAGGTAGAACACGGAATCATAATTAAGTCGCAATGACATTACAGAATGTCATCGTAACGTCATTTGATACTTAAAAATTTACTTATAAGTGCCAAGATGAGGTCATGATGACGTCCTTATGATATTATTATGTCTTCTATGTTCTACTTGGGTTGCTTTTTGCCTCGTTCTTATCGTGTTAATGAATCGCTAAAAACGATTGTCTTCCACACTGATTTTTACATTCTTTTCGCGATACTGTTCGAGTTTAAAAAGAGAAATAGAAATAAAGTAAACTTCGAAAGTGTGGACAATGCTGCCGGAGATGGCATTTCTCCCGTCCTTTTTACATATTTTATCTCACTAACAAGTATTTTTTTTATACATAATTGACATTCCTTATCATAGACGCAATTTCATTCATTATATAAGATGCACAACTGCACTATCTTTATTTATAAAATAAAACTAACAACAATGCTCTACACACACACACACACACACACACAAATGCACACGCAGGTACAAATGAAGTACAGATGCGCGAATATGTACGAGGTGCGAAAATTATTCTTCGTGAAACATTTGTCGTGAATAAAAATTGCTTATATTGCAATTTTTATGCAGATATTCCTTTCTTATGACGTGTTTTCGTACCAATTTGTATATGCGCACGTATCATGTATGCATAAATACATACACAGAGTGCATATACAGCAGCGTATATGAATTTGATATGTTAGTGTGAATTTTTTTTATTCAAATCTGATACGTTTTATATTCCTTTTACGAATTAGAACAGAAACGCGGTTTTAAATTTTAAAGAACTTAATTTTTGAACTTAATATTTTTTTAAAACATTCTAGATGATTTAAGCGACGTAGATTGTTTATAAAGAATTTAATTTAATATAATCATATGATATTGAGAGTTACTTTTTACGTGAACGCAGAAATAAGTTCAGTGATTATATTAATTTTTATTTAAAATGAATCAATATTATTTTATTCAAAAAAGTTATTCATGCATTTAATTTACACAGTACATGCATACACACCAATATTTTCATATTTACATGAAGAATGTTCCACAAATGTCGAATTAATCCATATTGGAAGGTTCTACGATGAAACTGTGTTTAATAATTTAATATAAATTATGGACTATAGATAGAAGTTCAAATAAACTTGCCTATTTTGATTTTATTTTATTTTTTATTTGAAATACAATATTTTCTTGCATATAGTATCGTCAAGCATATTGTTGCTTTATCCCTATAAAATATTTTTTTTAATGAGATATCGCAAGTTTAAATTTTGATGAAAATATGGCTTCGAAAATAATCAAAGTATTATTTTTCTATTTATTGTGGTATTATCCTTTATTTATTTCATTATTATCAATTAAATGATAGTCATTATCGTTAATATGTACGAATTATCAACAGATATCAAGATCAATCAAATTATTATTTATTGAGACACATGCGTTATAATTGCAATTTACGATTCGTCTATCAGTTTTAAACATTTTAAAGCCGAAAACAGCTCTACTACCACGTTCTCCTATTGACATGCGAGTTTCTCGTCGAATCTCCAGTTATCACTCGATCCACACAACTCACGTTATTATATTTACTGTATAAACAGATCTGTTTAATAGCGTCTATTAATAATAATATGCTTCTCTTAAAAAAAAGGAATGCCTGGAATTGTACTACAAATATCTGTCCTGTATGGCACATGCAACACTCATGAGCCTTTGACACCCGCTTGCTGATGGGACATTAATCACTAAAGATCAATAGTGATCTATATAATAATACCATCGTAACTATGTAATCGGAATTTCGTTATGTAATCTTTCTCATTTACCGGTGCTAATGTGGTGACAGGTGCACACCCAGGCTGCCTGTCTGAAAAATCGCTATAATGTTCGGAAATAACGCAATCCACGTACGTGTGTAATGGTAGCGATTAACAGATAATAATCGATCATCGATTCTTTTCACTTGATCGTTTCTTCTTTTTTTGTTTGGCTGATATTCTGACATATATACAGGCAGCTACGTTCTTTTACGAACGCTGCAGGGTAGATGCACCAGTGAGCGGTTAATTGAATTTTTTGCGATTGCAACGAAATTTTGTGTGTTCGTTTTATTAATTCGAGATCGCAATTTTTAATTGTCATTAACATCGAAAGTATATCGCATAAAATTAACGACAAAAGTGAAGCAACAGGCTCGTCGGACGACTGGTTTCAATAAATGCAATCGTTGAGGAGTGTGTAATTAAAAACCGACAGAGCATTGTGCCCTCATTCACTAGTGCATCCAGCCTGACGCGAGTTATTTCAGCGATGTGTAATCCATCGATTTGTACGTTTTTTTTTTTTTTGCGCGCAGGGAGGGTATCACGAGCCATATCACTTGAGCAGAAACGAACGAGTCTAATTGTCATGGACATTCGTGAGATAACGAAGTTAGTGTTGGCTTAATACTAGATACGTTCGTTTTTACCGCGTGAATCCGTTGGATTATTATCTTGTCATAACGCGTACAAGTCGAATGCTTCACACTAATAATATTACAAGTAGCCGGTGCAAAGCAATGCTTCATCATCGGACGAATCTTCGGATCGAGTGCTCGCGCGATCATTCGGACAGTCTTCTTTCGCTCGTGAACGAAGAATTGAAACTCTAACGCATGAAATAATATTGGAAGAAATGTTTTAACTTGATATCGATTAACGGATCTATTGTTTGCCGGATTACATGTCATGTACGACGCGCGCACGAGAAACGTGGAAGCGTTGCTTTTCACCACTAACTATATTTCTCTCAGCTGGCGAGCTACTAGATACTTAATGTTAACGTCGGTCAGTCATAATCAGATTACTAACAAACTGTTTTTCTTTTCTTTCTTGTTAACCCCGGTTGCCCGTGGCCTGTAGGCTTGGAGTGCTAACAATGGATATCCACTCGCCCCGTGCTAACACCTGGACTCTGGAACAGCATCCCGCGTTCGATCGGTTCACCAACCAGCCGACCACCTTCGCCGTCCGTCCGCGTCACCAGCCCCGTTCGTCAAGCTTATCCATCATCCTGTATCCTCTTAATGTTCGGAAACGTTAGTTTCTCCCACGCGTCTCGGCGATCGATGGAGTCGTCGCCGATTGGAATCCGAGCCACTTCGTGCCGTCGTAGCTCGTCGATGGCACAAATATAATTCGTCTTGCTTCACAAAACGGTAGCGTTGCGAGGTGCATTAGCATAATATACAGAGATTTGGGACCCTATATATATTTTATATATTATATATTTATGGATAAATATATATTATATATTTTATGTAGAATACCCGCACGCCTTTTTTGCGAAAAGAAAACGCAGGACTATTCCGAACTTGTTTTGGACGCGAGTCAGGTATGCGAAATCTGAATTCAGTGCAACGTTAGCGGTAATAGCAATAGTTTTTAGTATGAACGTTAGTTTATCGGTTATTTTTACTCCCTCGTGGGGAGGGGAATTTTGTTGTAGCACGCGCGCGATGTATCTCCGAAGTATTTTATTTTCTCTCTCTTCTCGTGGCAGCGATGAAATGTTGTTCGCGTTTTTCCCAGTACTTATGACTACGCTGGCACCTCCCCGTCTCTGGAGGTGGCAGCGCAAGAATGTGACAACGTTAATATAACTTAAACGCAATGATATATTTACGCGCATTTTTAAGAGCTAACTGCTGAAGGAAGTGTCGCGCGAAAAAAAACAACAAATGAGAATATATGCGAGAACTCGCGAAGTTCTTCAAAGACCTCATCGGAGAAAATCACTTGATGCCAATGTGTCTTCCTTTTTTTTTCTCGTGCGACACGTCTCTCATGTCGGAGAAATTGTCGAAATTCTGTACAACTCTCTCGAATAAATGTGCCTTATGTAATGTTAACGTAGTGCGGTGTAGCCGCGTTACCGTTCTAGATAAAGCTTTGTTATCGATAGACTCTACGTAGTAGCATTAGAACTGTGCAATCAAAATTTAACTTTCACGCGATATGTATATCCCTAGAAAGAGAAGGACAATGCCAATTAGATCGTTCTCCTAATAGTCTTTTTCGTTAAGTTGCGAGAAGAACTGTTAGGAACATCCATAGCTAGAATCATGAATATCCCGAGGATAAGGCTTTAAAAGTATGCGTTGTATGCGGATGCACGAGAGAGCTACATGTACATATTGTTTCAGCTGAAAGTATTAAGAGAAGTGCTGTTCGCAGAGAATATTCTAGTACGTCAATGTGCAATACGTTGATGGTGAAAGAAAAATGGCAGGTCGTCCAAAATGCGTTGCCAAGATTCATGAAATAAATTGCACATTTTAACTTTGCGAAAAACTTACAATTCAAACCGCAGGATTATCGAACAGATACGTATATGTATTTACATAAATATCGATAAAACGTCGATATCATCAGGTAAAACGGCAAAAAAAAAAGAATAACAGAAGTATCGCGAGATCTGTTATGACTTTCTACATCGTGGAATTATTTGCAAGATATTATTAAACATGTATATGAATATAAACAAAAGAAATGTATGTAATCTCTGTCTACATACAAGCAAAGAGTGTTTGCGTGAGAGAGTGACTTACTTAATATCGACTTTATCGTTATATTAGAGAGTTGCATCACTTTTTAGGTCTGCCATATTGTACATGTAACGATTAAGAATATCAAGTTGCACGCGTTATATAACTTCTGTATAGTCATTCATGTGTCAAATGTTATACTCGTTCTTTCGACAGATATTTTTGAATTTTTGTCCAAGGAGTCCCTCCTAGGTGTACCGATAGCTCGGTCCTTCATGTATATATAAGCGTTGAAAGATATACACGCACATGTTTAAGAGTGATCTGAAATCTACTTAAGTTCTCAACGTAAAAAAAAAAACAAATATATTCGATATATATTTTATTATTGTACGTAAATAATTGATTTAACGAAATATTTTGAATATCATTGTCCTTTATTAAGTGCGATTATAATATACGAATTATATATGCGCATTCGAGAGCGTGATTATATAGAGAACAGATATGTATACTCTGCGTATATTCTGTTTAATATATATATGCGCCTGAGAACGTAAATTATTACACATGTATACACATAATGTATTATACATATGCACTGACTCAGTTGAACATCCGGACGGTATGAATAAATACCACTGTGATTTACTTCTGCGTCAAACGGCGATACATTATCTGTTATGATTTTGGAAAGAAAATCCATTTTTAATATTTGCGTTCTATCATAATTTATTATATATAGTTTTTGTATAATATTATATTATTGCAGCTCGCACTGCTTTATCAATTATATAAGCTATATGGCGCATAAATATCCGATCTTCATTATTATTTTTTTATAATTTTTCGAGATTATTATTATTATTACCGCAGAAGTAAACACAGGCGTGATTTGTTTACACCCTGTTATCGTATTTATAAATGTATTCAGATAAGTTACATAAGAAATTATATATATGTGCAAGCAATCTTGTTAGATCTTATGGCATGCGAATTTACATTTATTATTCTATAGTTATATAGTTTTTTTGCCGAAATTTATTGTATATGATAATTTTTTAGTTTCATATTTTATTTTAATGTTGATATATGTGCAGGATATGTGGCAATATTAATGTGTAAGTGACAATGAAAAGCAATTCTGTTTTCTGAAATCTCGGAAAGATCTGATTACGAATCATAGTATATACTGTACGCTACTTATCGAAGAAAATTCACAATTTACACTGAAAGTGCAAATAAAATAGTTTATACAAACATGTATAAATACTATGATGAACGGTAATAAAAATATTTTTTCAATACTCGACACTTCCTTGACACTTGAAAGAAATGACAGGTATAAATAAGATTTCTGTTTTATTGATATACATGCATAAGTTATCAAAAATGGACATTTCATAATCTCATGCAAAACATATCGAAATATTTACATTAGCTTTATTTCTTTATTTCTTTAAAAGAGATCCTTCTATGTACAAAAACATCACTTAACATAAGATAAATTATTTTCTTATTGTTACAATTAATACATGCAGTATGGAATAGAAAATCCTTTTACCACTTTATGACTTTGGTAATCGATAGAAGCTACCGGAGAGTAACAGTTGGTGTTCCCTGACTTTTCTGTCCAGAAACTGCCTCAATTCTGGTAAGCCGCATTCGACAGCACCCGGTCCTTGCGACGCGAACATTTTCAACATCTGATGAATCCTTTCTATTGGCAATGACTCTAGATTCGTCAACATTCCAACGATGTACGACCAGAACACTTGCAACTCCTCCTCTCTCTGATCGCTGGCTGAAGCCATTGCACTCTCAGTCTCCTCCTCTTCGACGATATCCGTCGATAAACGGTTCTTCGACGTACTTTCCTCTTGCAAAACGAACACGTCACTAGAAGTCTCCTTCAAAAGGCCTTGCGATACCCAAAATGCCATTTTACGTCGAAGAACAGTCGCCGGTGCATGCATCACCTCCGCCAGATCTTGCAAAGTCCACTCATCTGCAAAATAAACTTAACTTAAGAACAACTGTTTCACCATGTATTTGCGTTTCGATGCGATAAATAATCAACGTGTTCTTACTTTTATCTTGGAAGTGCAAGATAATCGTTGCGTGCACCGGTGTGACGTTTATATCTAGCTTTCTGTCCTTCAATTCGATTTCCAGGCTCACGTTTCCTAAGTGAGGCTTCCAGCAGAGCGTTCTATTTCCTTTCAAGGCCTCGAACGCCTTCACATATTTATTCAGTTGATTCTGCACGATGCTTGGTAGTTTCAATTTCCAGTCTTCCTTGAACGGCGGCCAGAACTGCGCCGATAGTATGAGTGCGGAGGTAGGAAAGAGCTCTCTCTGCAAATTGTAACTGGTGTCGGAGTGGATGTTACCATCTATCCTTTTCGAATCATAAACATCCTTCAGCATAACTTCGCAGTAATGCAATTGATTCTCCCCGAATCGTCTCTTCAGCAACTCTAAGTGACGTATCTCGCGTTCGGTATGATAGTTGAGTTGTGAGAGCAGTCTATCCGCCAGCAACGTGCGATACTCGTTGACGAACAAGTCCTGGCTGCCGTAAACATTCACCAGCGTAGAGATGATATCGGACACTTTACGCTGTGTCGATTTAGCTGGAAAAATAAATTTTTATTGAGAGAAAAGTTCATTATAAAAATATCTTATTTCGATGAGCATATAAATTTTGAAACTGCTTTTTGTGATTCAATTTCAACTCAAGTCTTAATTTGGAGGAATATATATTTTAAATCCAATCCCTTAACAGAAATAGAATGTAATGATAAATGCAATTTAGAGCAGCACGAATTTTTTCGTTAAAGTCAGTTATACAAGGAAATTTCGCAGTTTACCGGGATCAGCATCGACTGGATCCGGCATCCATTTTTCCCAATCTTCAGTCTCATCATCCGCCGAACCATCGTCCAGCTGCAAGCACTCGCCTTTCACCAATTCGTCGGCTAATTCACTGGGTGAATCATCAAGCAAGCTATTAACGACGGAACGTACGGTGTCTTCTCTGCTCCTCAAATAGCATCTAAAAGATAAATTGGACTTGACAAACAACTGTATTTCTTAGCATTTTATATTAAATTCACATTATGAATTACAACTTTGATGCGACAAAACAAGGGATCTCACTTGATAGGTTCCGTTACAGCTTCTAGAAGAACGCCAGTTGGATCGAGATGCTTGAGCGCTTTAATCGCAGCAATATAAGCGGTCACTATATCTGGAGTGTTCACACCAGCATGCAAGAGCCGTGTTTTGATCGCTTCTTGCAGATTCTTAACCAGAACCTTCCGTTTATCGGTTCTTTCTAAACAAACTCGGAGATCATCCACCGCAGGCTGCGATTCGGGATATTCTAGAGAAAAATGTAGCACGTAATTGTATAAATTGCAAATAAATAATAAATCTTTATAAATAAATAAAATATTTTAGATTATAGATATATTAATTAAAATTGTACCTATTATTATATTAAATAGATGATCGATTCGTATATTAGTGTACGTTTCGTACAGAAAATGAGATAGTTTCTGTTTGAACTTGTTTATAGCGTTACGAACTTCGTCGCTAAGTGCTACCGTTTTTGAGAAACCACCGGAATAAACTCTTATCAACCAATTCATCACAACAGTTTCGAGCCACTAAAAAATAAAATGTAATAACGCGTCATTAGTATACAATTATATAATATTATATAATGAGAAGAGAGCTAACATACATTTTCTAAAGAGATCAATTGTGACACATCAAATGTCTTATCACAAGTTTGAATTACATGATTTTTAATACGAATATGGATTAGCGACGTGAGTACATTTCCCACAAGCCTCTCCAATAATTCCAACTCGATTAATTTTCTGTTTGTTTCGTGAAACATATAAACTATTATCTGGCACCCGCAATTATCCATTTCCTGGCCACATCCTGTACATTGGATTTCACTGATTGATGTATCTGCTTTAAAGCGTATATTTCTATCATATTTGCCATGTTTCTCAAGCAAATCACAGATATAACACAAATAATAAAGATGAATACTTGTGTAATTTACCTTGTGACGAGTTATCTGAATTACAAAATACATTGAACGCAATTTTGTAAAAATGTTCTATGATACATTCATGGCACAGAGGTAGTTGGCTCAATAACGTTGCTCTCACAATGAGCTTGAATTGTGCCTCTATGTCTATACTGTCCTCAATGCTTGACGTTTCGCCTTTTTTCTGCCTTAAGAATTCTAGTTTTTTTAAAATTGGCAGAAACTTTGTGAGACTAGCGTATAGATCATCAACAGCAGATTTGAACAATTCAAAACCCCGGTGGCTATCCTCCGTATACTCAAACTTCTTCCAGAATGTCGGCGCCACGTGACAACGGATATATTGTTCTATGTTATGAATCACAACCTCTATGATATATTCTGTTGTCTTGACGAATTGTATAATTTCCACTAAATTCGCAAATTCCTCCTCTGTGCATTCCTCTTGAACCTAAAAAAGATAGATTATCAAGCATCTCTTAGAATAGGAATTAAAAAGAAGTTTGTTAAAGGATTGAGTCATGTGTCTCTGTGATAATGAGAATCATTTCACATATAGTGTTTTTTTAAGTTATTGTAAGCCTTTTAATCTAAAAATAACACATAATTTAAAAAATAACAGATATCAGTCTGAACTTTAAACAGAATTAAACTAAATTTTTAAATATGATATCTAAATTATCCGAGATAATTGTCGAGATGAAACACTTTATTGTTAGACTTGTTTAATTATTCAGATAATCAAAATCTTACGCCTAAAGAGTCAATTTAACATAAAAATCCATGAATTTGCAGAACTACGAAAACAGAATTGATTGCAAAATACAATTTATCAATATTTATTAAAATAATATTAAATATTTGTACATCTATTAGTCAAATATTTAAAAATTCGGATCTTATTTATAGTTCTGACATGACCGTGCTTAAATTGAGATTATGATTTCACACAGTAATGTTGATATCGTAAGATATTCCATTGTTGAAAAAAGAAATTTGTGATTTCAGTGTACAACATATATTATACGTACCTTTCCCTTAATTATTGGAAATACACGTTCTAACTGCTCGAAGAAATTATTCGACTTCTCTTCTACCTTTTCCATGTTTACTAACACATTCGAGTAACGTGTAACGTTGCCTAGTTTAGGTTATGTTATAACCGGGTAATTATGTTAGGTTATGGTTCATAAGGTTATGGATTAGAGAAAGTAAACTGAAAAGAGAAGTAAAACAGAATTTTTGGAGTTCTTTATACATTACAGTGACTTCGATCAAACTTGATTAACTTGTCAAATAATTTTATCAACGTGAATAAAATTATAAATTCTTTTCGTTGTGCATGTGACATCGAAATATTAAATCAGAAGCATATTTTAACAATCTGAAGTTTTACTGAAAACAACTTTGCAAGTTATGTTAATTGCCAATTATTAAGTTAATCAAAATCGATCGACGTCGCCATCAGAAAGATGCGGATACAGATATTGAAAGTACATGTCTTTATTTTCAGAATTGCAGTGTAAGCATGAATAAATTTTCATTCAAGTACAGGAACGTGATTTTGGGTATGACTGCGACTGCATTTGGATATTATGCAGTCCTTATGCCACACACTGTCTTCCTGAAAAAGTACAGATACATGGTGGCCACATACCAGTGAGTAATGCAAGGGGTTTTAGAATTCCCATTCTTTATTCCAAATTTGAGACTTAATGTCCTTTTTTATTATAAACGCATAGAATGGGAAAAGAGGTGCCGTTAGGCTCTAAAGTCCAGCAGATAATTCAGAAGGTAATGAGTGACTTGAAACTGTCCGACAACGTTAAGGATGCTATAAAGCCTGTCAGCGTACTTGGTTTCGATTTGCTTCACGCTGGTACTTTCAATGCCAAATACGGTGCGATACTGGGAATTCCCATTAATTTCACCAGTACTGTAAACCAGCTTCACCAGGGCCTGCAGATCAAGGAGGAGCTAGTAGACTGGACACGGCAAGACGCAAAGGCTTTTCTGGAAGCAGTAACGTTCTCCGAGGATGCACAAAAATTTGCGATAGCGCGCGAAATCCTGCAAATTCAGGCAGAGGAGCCGTATTTTAATTCACTCTTGCTGGCTTTAACTATAGGGACCCTGTGGACACTTTACAACGTTATATCGTACAGATATAAACTACGCGAAGGCAATGCGATAGCACGACGTATGCTTTGCGGGACTTTCACTTTATTTGGTGCAATATTTTGGTTCGGTGTAAAGGACTATCGAAGTTATCAGCTCGACAGAAAGAACGATGAAGCTTTGTGCCGTTTAGGAACCGAATATATCAAGGGAGGACAGGAATTTTATGAAAAAACGTTAAATAGAAACAGAGCTTTGAGGACTCTTCTAGGCACAGACGGGAAAAGTAGATATACTATTCACGGAAATGAAGAGAATTTTTTGAGACTGAAGCATATGCCAATCTCCCACAGGAAGGATTTTTTCGATTCGCATCTACGAAACTTGAAAGGTATGAAATAAATTGATTTCTTTATATCTACCTAAAATTTTTAGCATCTTTTTTTACATTGACCATCCAAGATTCTTGAATGATCAAAATTCTAATGATATCCAGTATGTCTTATAGTTTCGAAATATATCTTTTTATTTCCGTAATTAACTGCATGGTTTAACTATTTCGTATGTGTTAAAATGAATGGAACGTGAAGTACTTAGTGCGATCGGAAATTTATGTATAAACAAGATTAATGTAAATATATATTTATAACGTTGTTGGTAAGATGCGATATTCGTAATAAACTATTTGAAAAACAGTATTCGTTGGGGGAATATATATTATTAATTACAATATATATATGCATATTAGAGAGTCCTTAGACTACCTATTGTGCTTACGAAACATTGCCATTCCCTTAACGTAAAAAGCATTCATCATAGATGGTACATACTTCCAATGCGTATATCAGCACATTATTATCTTTTACAGAAGTTACAGGTAAGAGGACACATTTTATACATTATCTATATTTCTATAGTATATAAGCCTTATCACATACGATAACATTTTGTTAAATTAATATTTATAAAAATCTGCAAATATTACATATTGTTGCTAATTTGTACAAGTTCTTATTTCCTTCTTTTATATATAAGTATCTGGAGACACTGGTAGTATCTCGGTGCTAAAGCTACGCGCAGCGACACTACCGTGGCTACTTTTCGCGAGCCTATATATAACCGAAGATAAAGCTCTCGCGCGAGCGGCCTGTAGAAACATATGATACTCGGGCAGAGAAACGCCTATAACGTCAATTGCCTATAGAATTCTTCTATACAGAAAAATTGTACATCTCGGACTACGAGAGACCAAGCGAGCCAAACTGAAAAGAGATCCATAACGTGAATATAAGATGTATATGTACTGTGCTAGATAGAAAGATATCAGTTCGTGTTAGACAGAGAGAGATCAGTTTGTGCTGCCACTTACCAGAGTTAGCTTATCCTCCTCCTTCTTAAGTATCTTTGTGGTCTGTTCTTGGTCGAACTTGACGACGGCGGCGATTACTCTGGCGAGCACCATCGTCTCTCTTCCCATCATGTATTCGAACAGAATGTTTCTGAGGTACTCAATTTCCGTCGAATCTTCCAATGTGTCGTGTCGCAAACTGACCAGTTTCCTGAGTTCCGCGAGTTCTCGCCTCTGAGACGTCAGGGTCTGTTGCAAGGTGTGAATTGAGCCGGTGCTCGTGTGTATCGCGGCCATCGCCACGCGAGAAGTACTTTCCAATTCCTGTATGAAATTTCACTTAGAACTCTCAATTTTTAAACAATTGTGCTATGTAAAATAAGCATGTATAGAAAAAAAGCATAGTCAGTGTAGGCATTAAATAAAAAGAAATGAAGCTTTATACCTCGGAAGCTGCATCAGTTTGTGCATCAGGCTGAAAATAATGCGAAATACGTGAACGCAAATTAAAAAATTAAATTAAAAAAAAAATAAAACATGCATGAATAAATAAAATAATCATACATTTAAAAATTTATATCTAAATAAATAAATGTAAAATATACATATAGGGTTAAATTGAATTATATTTTCAAATTATGCAAACTTACCTTTCTTTCGTTCTGCCACTCTTTTGTTAGTTCGTTCAATTCGTCCTCGTGTTTAACTTGCAGATTGTCGATTTTCTGCTGCACTATGGCCTTCCACTTTTTCTCTAATTCTTTTATTTCATCAGTGTGTTCCTTTTTAATCTGCGCGATTGTTTCTACCAAGCGATCAATATCCTTCCCCTTCTCTGCTACGACATCTTTTTTCTCTAAAACAAGGCTCTCGAGTTGCTCAGACTTCTCTGTCAACTCTATTTGACAATCTTTCAATTGTTCCTTGTATTGCTGTACAAGATTCGACTCGTAGTTGTGTTGGCGATCTATGTAAAGATTAAATACCGATTATATATTGGAATGTTTCTCAAATTTTTTTTGTCTCATTACATATAAATATATATGTAATTTAAAAAAAAATAAAATAGCATCTTACCGAAACGTTTCTCCAACGCGGCTTGAAGTTCTTCTTCTTTGTCATGCAATTGAGCTTGAAACTCTTTTACCAGCTGCTTCAGCCTCATGCCTTGTTCCTCCTCATTGGTCTTCAACTGTTCCCTCAATTGATTGGTTTGCGACCTTAGTTCATTATTTGTAAGTTGCATCTGCGTCTCTTTCGCTTGGAATGTAATCAACGCTTCATCGAGCTGGGCCTCTAATCTCTTATTTTCCTCGCGCAACGTGTCGCTGATGAGTTGGCCCTTCGCGTCTTTGTCCTTACGGATAGTTTCCAATTCTTTCTTTAACGCATCGTTCGTCCGAATGAGAGAATTAATTTCCGACTGCAAACCGGTAATCTTTTCTTCCGCTGACGCGAGCGAATTTCTCAGTGTGTCTGTACCCTTCCTCCTTTCATCGATTTCGAGCGAAAACCGTTTTAAATTCCCAATCTCTTGTAACATGTTGGATATTTTATCTTCCAATAATTTTATCTCCGCGTCTTTCGCCGTCAATGTATCTTTCAAGGCGCCCACTTCCGGCGACGAATTCTTCGCGGACTGCAAAGCTTCAATCTCCGACTGCAGTCTACTATTTTCCATACGTAGGGCCTCTAAACTAGATACCTTAGACTGTAAATTATTTACATGAGTTTGCAACTGCATGCTGCTAGATTTTACTCTTTCCAACTCGGCAATTCTGTCCTTCAGAGTTTTTTGCTCGGCAATTAATATGTCGTTCAGAGTTTTTTGCTCGGCAACCAACATGTTGGTCTCCGAAAGTCTTGCCTCTGCGCCGGAGTTCTTTTGGATTAAATCGTTAAGTTCTGATTTCAGTTTTTTATTCTTTTCTTCCACGTCTTTAATTCTTTTAACTTCATCCTTTAGCGTTCTTAATTCTGCGCAAAGCCGCGAATTCCTTTCCTTCATGACGTTACCGTTTGTCATAGCTGTACCTAACTCGGAAATTTTATCCTTCAACTCGACATCCCTCTCGTCAAGTTTTCCTTTGATTTCTTGTGATTCTTTTTCGCTCATCACTAATCTCTCATTTAATGAATTCAATTCCGCATCTTTACGTTCTAATTGCGCGCTAACGTTACTTAATTCGTTGCTTAATCGTTCTGCCTTCTCGCTTTGACTGTTGAGCTGAGACTTATACGATTCCACGTAATTTTTCACCGTTCTCCGCAATTCTTCAATCTCCTTCTCATAATCTGAGATTTTCTGCTTCAGAGTCTCGTCATTTTCGCAAAGCTTCTGATTGCGGCTCAGGAGATCGTTTTGCTGGTCTTTGTTCTCCAAGGTGATCGCCACAAGTTGAGAATTTTCTAATTTCAGCGACTCTATCTGTTTCTCGAAAGTCTCCAACATTTTGGACAATTCTGCCTGCCGAGTCTTTGATTGGTCAAGCTCAGCTTTTACCACCTCAATCGTTTTACTTTGTCGTTCTTTAATAGTTTTCATCTTCTTCAATTGTACGAGTTTCACGTTTACCGTTTCCTGCAGTGCCTTGTTATTCTCCATTAATTCGGTAGTTTCTTTCGCGTGATTCTCCCTCGTCGCTTGATATTCAGCCTCCAAGTTTAGATATTTCCTCACGTGTTCCTCGATTGTCTGTATATGACTGTCGCATGTGGATTTTAAATGGGCGACATGCTCCTCTTCGCTTGCTAGTTTCTCATCGCGAATTTTTATCTCACTCTCCTTTTCAGCCAGATCTTCCTTCAAGCGAGCGATTTCTAATCTCGAGGCGTACAGCTCTTTTCGCAACGTATCTTGATTGCTGTTTTCCGATTTGAACGAATTAATGACTTCGGTCGCCTCACGTAACTTCGCGTTCAATTCATCTACCTTTTTAAAGGCATGACTGGCCTGCGCATGTTTTTCCTTTAAATCGTCAATCTCGATAGATAACGCATGATTTACAGATTCGAGGTTCTCTAATATCCTCAACCGTTCTTGTACAACCTTAACTTCCTGTTGTGACTGCGTTAATTTGTGCGATGCCGCTTCCAGATCGTGAATTTTAAAATTGAGATTATCGATCTCAGCTATTAATTTGTTATTCGTCGTATTAAGTTCGTCGTATTGGTTACTCTTCAGCATCATCTCTTTCAGTCGTTCGTTACTTTCCCTCAATTGCGCTTCTAGTACGGATTTGTTCATAACTTGCGCAAATTCTGATTGCAAGGCTGTCTCTTTAAGCTCTTTTTCATCCTTTATCTTCGAACGCAATTCATCTATTTCGGACCTCAGTGTTATATTCTCTTCTTCGAGTTTTATAAAAGATGTGGCAAGAGTCGCGCTCATGTCCAATATTTTGGCCTTTTGATTTAAGAACTCCTCTGCAACGACATTTTTTACAACCGTGCAATCCTGCTTTAAACGATGTATACAATCGTTATAATAAATAAGACGATTTATAAAATCACTTCTCTCTTTTTTCAATAAATTTATAACTGAACTGTCTGCCTGAACCTTATTTTTAAAGTCATCGATCGTAGATTTGCAAAGCTCGAACTCATTTTGTATCGCGCTTAATTCGATTTTTTTATTCTCCAATTCTTCTTGTAGCTCTGAAAACTTTTCCAATTTATCATTCAGCGATATGATTTCTGCTTTCTGTTCGGTCAATTTATTCTTAGCTTCTTCGAGCATATCCGTGTATTGTTGCACCTTTTTATTATAATTTTCGCACACCTGATCCCTATCAATCAACGTATTTCTCATGTTCTCCAATTCTTTGTCAACACTTTGTACTGTCACTTGCAGTTTCTCAATCGTCGAGTCAGCATCTTTCTGTCTTTCTTCAGCGATAATCCTGTGTGCTTGATACTCCTCCCTCAGGTCCGAATATGTGGTCTTCCAAGCAACCAGTTCACTTTGTATAGATACCTTATCATATTTATATTCTATATTTTGTTTCTCCATTTCGTCCAATTTATCCTGCAGTTCCTGTAACTCGATTTCTTTTTCCTTTAAACGAACCGTTACTTCGTCTAGTTTATTCTCGTCTTCTGTTTTAATCTTTTCATTATGATCGACTTCCTCGTAATGTTTTATTCCCACTTGTTGCATAGATTTTATTGCTTCGATTTTCTCTCTCGATGCTATCGCATTTTTATCCGAATCAGTATGCAGGGATTTCAGTTCACCCAATTCGGCCTTATATCTAGCTATTCCCTCGTTTAAATTCTCTTTATCTTCCGTCACGTGTTTCAAATCGATTCGCAGCTGCTTGATTTGTTCCTCTTTCTCCTCGAGTTCTCTGTGTACGGAAAGTTTATTCTCAGCTAACGAAATCGCCGATTCTTCCTCGCGTTTGTGCAAAGTATCTATTTGTTCAGTCAGTTTTTCAATCTCGATACGCGCCGCACTCAGTTCATCCTCCGTGACACTGATTCTCTCGGCAGTAGAATTCTTTAGCGCCTCGTGATCGTTCTCCAAAGTGTTCTTCTCCTTCATCACATCTAAAAATTTCTCCTTATTACGCTTTAAGGATTCCTTATACTTCAAAACAAGACTTTCCAGCTTTTTTAGCTTATCCTTTAACTGTGTATTTTCTACCGACAGTGCGTTATTCTCGTCATTAGACGATTCATTCGCCAAATCGATTAGGTTTCCTTTAGAACTCTCCTTTGGTTGAGTTTCTTCAAACACTGAATTGTCTAAAATTGGTCCGCTTGATTGTAACAATTTTATCTTTGTATTCAATGTATTTATGATGTGATCTTTCTCTTCTATATCATTCCTTAGTACATCCTCTAAGTGTGCTTTCGCTTGTTGCTCTAATTGACATTGCTCCTTTAGGTCGGTTATTCTTCTTAGAACCTTGTCTTGTGTTTCAACCAACACAGATTCCAGTCTGGATTTCACTCTATCCAATTCGCGATAGTGCGTAGCCAGATCCGTATATCTACCGCGATACTTGTGATATTTGGTTTGCACCTTTTTGTAAGCGGAATATAACTGATCCTTCGTAACTCTATCAAGATGAGGACTGATATTGTCGTCCATTTCGCTAGCCGATTGATCCATGTCCGACTGCAAAAGCAAAACTGTCAGAGTTGTCAGAGAGTTAGGAAGCTATCTGCCGATAGGCATTTATAAGTGACAAACCTGTAAATGATAAAGATTCGGAGGACTCTCGTACATTGGAAACAACGAGGACGCGTCACTGGTGATACTACTCACTGAAGATCTTCTCGAGATCTCCATGCGATTCGGAGACGGCGACATCAGGTCAACATTTTGGAAACTGTGCTTCACCGGAGTGTTCTTTGGCGTTTCTGCAAAATAAAGAATTCAATACCGTCACCAAACTGTTCTGTACAGAACATGTATAATATATACAGGGTAATACTGTATGTATGGTATTATTTACAAAAAAGACTTGTTCTTTTTAGCTGAACTTCTTCATTTTTTCTCTTTTTCTCCAATGTGAAGAGAAAAGGAGGAAAGATATGCCATACAAGTTCAACCTGTTCAAAAAGAACAAGCCTAAAGTATCATACAGAATGTATCATCAGTGTAGTGATCATGTAACTTTTTCTAGAAAATATGTATATATACATATACATACAAAAATTTCGCTTTTCACGTTTACGCCCTAAGGAAAAAGTTACATGATTGACCCTTGAAACAGAATGCTCAAGTACAAGTCTCTTCAATATCCTTCATGTCTCCAGAGTTGAAGTGTCATTAGCATCCCATTGATCATTCTGGCGACATAGCCCATATGTCGAGAATCTTCAAATTTTGTACATCCAATGGTGAAACTCGCCAAGGTGATCACGGTATGCTTACCATCTCCATCCTCCGTCAGACTGAAATTGTCATTCGACGCTGACACTTCCTGAATAGAGCTGTTGGACAAGGCCGGTGATACCACTGCCTGTAAGAAACAACAACAAAAGAAGAAGTAAATTTCAGATCATTTTCGTAGAATCACGTTCGAACAAGAAGGGAGTTTAACCTGCGCCAGTTGTTGCACACTCGCCTGCAGCCTCGCAGGCGACTGCTTCATCTCCTCCGCGAGCTTGTCCTTGAATTTTTTGAACATCCTGACGTGTGGCTGTCGGAAGCAGTGGTCAGTGACGATAAGCGAGCGCGATAAGCGCCGTGCGAAATCGGAGTCCTTCCGTCAGTCACGCGTGGAGTACGATAGCGCGCTGTTTACGTGGATTCGGGCCGTCAGGAACGGTGACGCGAACACGGGGAATTCGGACTACGACGGGACTGTACGGCGCTGGGGACATGGTACCGGAAACGCCGCTCCTCTTTCCGCCGTCCGGATCTTCGTGAGCGAGAACACCTCCGATAAGAACACCGCGGAAAAATCGCACGAACGTTGAGCTACATTATTTGATTATCCCACACATACATTGTATGTATGCATGTGTATGCGGTATGCGTTGGCCGCCATTACTATATACATATATGTGGGCGCTCGATGACGTCATCGGGCAGATCAAACACCGTTTTCAACTGTTGAATCTTTCTATGCATGACGTAATTGCTTTACAATTGCAACAATAAAGTGACAAACTTTAAAATCATTATACATATATTATTATTATTTAATTGAAAAAATTAAGATGAAATTTAAGTTATGTTTATTCAAATTGAGGAGTTTTCATAATCTAGGCTACACAGTAAAATATTCTATTACTAAGAAAAATAATTACTCAATTTACTTTCTTCCTTTTAAGTAAGTTATTTTTAACAAAAAAATATTTTCTTGATAAGAATCTTATAATTTCTTGATAAGAATCATGTAATAATCTTTTCATAAACAATTCTGGCGATTGAATTAATTTAGTTTAAGTTAAATGCGTAAAGATGTTCAAGCAATCAACAGTAGCATTAAAAAATATTTCAATACCTCTACAGACAATAGAAATAAAACTAAAATGTATCTAAAATAAATTGATAAATGGAGTTTTAAAATATCCCAATCGACACCAATTAACAATAACATAACATTTAGTATGTTATGTTAAAATTTCGCACTCAACAATATAAATGTAATATAGCATATGTTGTCATATAACAGTTACATTATTGAATACTAAATTATAACATAGATATGTTACTTTTAGTTAATGTTGACAGCAGGGATGTTAATATGTAATGAATCAGCTTCCAAGGAATCGAGGAATAAAAAAAAAACAAAATTTGTTTTTAAAATTTCCATGATGGCTGGACGTTTATTTAGACAACTTCAGCTGCCCTCGCGCCTCCTTTGTGAGTCTTAGACAAATACTCGGCAAATTCCTGATACGGCGCCTTTGCAAGAGCTTGTTCCTTCCACAAGTCGGGCGTCAAATAAGCATAGGTTTTGGCGATTGCGGCGTACGTAGCCTTGGCGAAATTGCCGAGTGTACAGGTGGAACCCCTAGCCGAGGTGTAGCAATCTTCGATACCAGCCATCTGAAGTAGTTTCTTGGGAACTGGAGCAGATACGATGCCGGTACCCCTAGGCGCTGGTATCAGGCGCACTTGTACGGAACCGCATTTCCCAGTCACCTTGCACGGCACTGTGTGCGGCTTACCGATCTTGTTGCCCCAGTAACCACGTCGAACTGGTACAACGGAGAGTTTGGCCAGAACGATAGCACCTCGAATGGCGGTAGCTACCTCCTTGGAACATTTTACTCCCAGTCCGATATGTCCATTGCTGTCCCCAATTGCGACAAAAGCCTGCAAAAGATGTCTCACTTTTATTATTTTTGTTACAATGATTTCTTTAGCATCACTTGATTATTGTTAGATTAGAGCCTAATCTACAACGCGTTCTTTGCTTGCTGATTCTTGCTTTGTATCTTTTTGTAACCGTTTTATCAACAATTTTATTTCTCATTTTTCTCATAGTTCGTTAACTTTTCTCTCAAGTAACAAAAAACAAAGAAAAAGAATAAGAGGCAAGAGATAAAAATAATCAAAAACAAGAAACAAGAAGCAAAGAGCACATTGTTAGACTTGAACCTTTACGTTTATTTTCCTAATTAATTTCTTAATTGATTGTAATGTCTGAAGGGATTTCTGGTTTACCTTAAAACGCGTGCGTTGACCTGCTCTCGTCTGTTTCTGTACCGGCATGATCTTCAAGACCTCGTCCTTTAAATCTGGCCCAAGAAATTTGTCAATAATTTCAAACTCCTTAATGGGTAAAGAGAACAGGTAAATATGCTCTAAAGACTGGATTTTGCCATCTCTAACCAAGCGACCCAGTTTGGTAACAGGGACCCATTCTTTGCTGTCTTCCTTCCCACGTCCACGGCCACGTCCTCTGCCTCTACCACGACCTCGGCCTCTCAGACCTCCACGGTCACCTCCACGAGAGCCAAAACCTCCACGAAAACCACCACGAGCGGCTGGAGCAGTGTCCGCCATCTGTTAAGCAAAATATAATACATTAATTATCAAATATAATTTTTATCCAGAAACAATTCTATAACATTCGTTGAAAATATTGTTGATAAGCTGTTTTGCACATTATTATTATACTTACACAGAAAATTATGTTTAACTATAAATTATAAATTGAATTGAAATTAGGGTATATAATATTCATAACCATTAAAAATTAATAAAGTATACATAAAACTTTAATGCGCTTATAGTGGTTAACCTAATAAGCCAACATGTGGCATTTGATATACTTGAGAGTTGCAACGAAAATCCTTCGTGAGAACATTTTTTTAATGTCTCCTACGTAACTGAACGAAAAAGGTAAAATGAAATCAACATTGTTTTAATATTGTAACAGATAATTAAAAATTATCAAGAATATAAATATACTCACGTTGGTTCCTTTCTGCGCGTAGAATCAGAAGAATGAGGGAGACATCAATCAGTCCCGTATCATGAGATTTTCTCTCCACGCGTACACTATAATATGTAAAAAAACGTATAAATTTTGTTTTGTAATGTAATATCGTCAAACTCGTTTTTATACGTACTTAAATATATATTTTCTATATGTGCTGATTTATTACTTAAGTATTTATTATATTTGTTATAAAGATAAAGAAAATTTCAAAAAATCTCATCAACGATTCAATAAATATTTAAAAAATATAAGTATAGAAATATTTAAATATATATATATATATATATAAAATATATTTAGGTAATTAATACAAAACATATTAAATACTTTTTTTTAATATATATAAATTTGATCATAAAACTGAAAAGTTACATTTTAAATAATTTACATAAATGGAAAGGACAGCATTAATAAAATACTACGAAAAAAAAAGTCTCATTGACTTAAAACAACTTTAATAGCAGCGACAGTATTAATATACGAAAAAAATTTTATGGGCCCCAAAAAAGCATTCTACGTATCACTAACAAATACGAGTCTATGTCACATGACTGCTAATCTGTCACGTGATCGATTACGCGCTCATACACATTTGGACGGAAGTAGTCTCGTGATCTAAATTACGGGGACCAATAGAAACCCTCAGTTGCTTCAGGCAGACGCTTGACGTCATATCCGATATTTCAAAAAATAGCGCGTCTTATAATGACAATTAAAATACAAGACGATATGAAGATTATATAGATTTATATTGCTTTATTGCTATCGTACACTTAAATAACGCTGTAACACTTGCCACAATATATAACATATTGTCAATTATTATGTTCTTGGCGATCACCCATCAACTCTCGAAACATCCCGTCTCAGTCACATCATCAACAATATTATAGGACAAACGATGATCAAAGATCTGGGAATACATACATATACACGCACACACACGTGTGCGTATACATGTTTGTATGTATAATAAATGCTAAGAGTACTTACTTCAGCTACAGAGGGATCACGTGACACGTCTTCTGCATATACAATCTTACAAAGTACATGTTATTAGAAAGGAACTGAAAGTTACCGAAACTGCATTACCCATGACAATCTCTCTAGCAGTAAAAAAAGAAATTCATCATTTACAATGTAGGTAATATCGCATCTAAAAACGGGGTTCAAATCGAAGCTTTATTGACCACATTAACAATATTTTGCTCTACTCAGTCGACATTGAGGACACGTGACAATAGCGCAGTGAATACGTTATCCAGTATCCCGGATGTAGTTCGATGAGATTAAAGATATACCTCTTTTTGTTGCTGTACGTAATCACGTACCATAGATAAACGCATCGTTTTGCTCGCGTTTTCTCCTCAATCGATCTGATGCGATAACTCTTGAGTTATAAAAGTATTATTGTACTGAGAGAAGGGAGAGGATACATCGGGCACACGGTGATGAGATCACACGTCTCCGAAATGCACATCGGATAATACTTTGGTAATGTACTGGCGGCGAGTAATCGAGACAGCGTGTTTAGCGGCTTACGAAGCGACGTCCGCAGCTAACAGAATCGATCACGGGAGAGTCGCCGCACTGGAATTCCGTATTTATCACGAGGTGATGTCAACGGAACATTCGAAGGCGAGTTATGTGTGCACTTGCTGCGACCTGCGAGCCTGATTTCCTCCCTTTAGCGTTTAATTCATCTAGGAATCTAGTCGTGTCTCTATTGTGCATCGCAAAAATTGCGCTCACAAGTTTACTGTGCTCCCTATCGAGAGAAAGTCCTCTTACGCGAAATCGTTTTGTCAATTTCTGCACGTTAAACTAATTCGACATTATAACCTTGTCACACGGTATACGAATACCTTTTGTTTCCATCTAATTATATTCTCACTAAATAATTTTATCGAATTATCAGGAAGCAAATTAAGAATACACCATACCGTAGGACAAGAATCTTACTCAAGTGAGATTTTACCTTAGAATAGGTATCTCCGCACGCTTTATTTCACCGTATCCGCTCCTACAATCGAAATTTTGAGCTTTTTTTCGTTGCAATTCTAAATCATATGTCAGAGCTCAATTTAAAAACATTTTTGTAAATCCATTAATCTCCTATGTATTTCTGTATGATACCTTGTTTGAATGGTGGACTGAATGTTTTTTCCTCCTTGTTTGTTTTCTTATTCATTGAGTTAAAGCAGCAGAATGTAGTAATACCACCGTATATTGCCCCGGTATGTTTCTTTCCCGATCAGATGAAAATATGAGCGTTTCTCGGTTTGCAACGTGCAATTATCGGGCAATATATTACCGGATTAATCACACCGAATTAACAACAAGCGAGTCCAGTATTTAGGATCTCATATATGGATAATCGTATTCCCGTATGGGCGCAAAGGTCTCCTTAATGGCCTGCGGGGACGCCCAGCGAAGAGCGTAGTGAGGACCGCCGGCTTTGTCATTTGTACCGGACATTCGACTGCCACCGAATGGCTGTTGGCCGACCACTGAACCGGTCGATTTGTCATTGACATAAAAATTACCGGCAGTATACTTAAAATCTTCAAGTGCCTGCTTTGCCCATTTTCTGTAAAAATATACAGATGTATGAGACTACAATTCACTTTACTACAATGCACCATTATAGTATCGTTGAACCAGCATAAAAATTTTGAGAATTGATCAGAGTTTGAGGTGTAAAAAAAAATATTACATCACTATACTACAATCTCATTCTGGCTTATAATATACAGACACAACTTTAGAGAATTTAACATGTGATTTAAAGCAGAAGCTATAATTGTGTAATATTTTGCTTAAATTCTTTTACACTCGTCACGTACAACGTAACTTGTATAATTGACTAATTTTACTTACTCATCTTGTGCGAATATCGCGCCTGTTAAGGCGTAAGGTGTAGACGTTTCTACCAGCTTTACCGTCTTGTCCAGCTCGGAATCTTTGTAAACGTATATCGTTAACACTGGGCCGAATATTTCTTCTGTCATGAGTTTTTCTTTTGGATCTTTGGATTGTACTATTGTCGGTTCAATAAAATATCCGCACCTGAAAAAACACTTTTATCTCGATACGAGGTATTCATGAAGATAATTATTACGTTAATAATAATTGCAACAGAACATACGAATCGTCGTAGCCTCCACCGCCAAGAATTTCGAAATTGGGCGATTTCTTCGCGTACTCGATGTAACCGGAAATTCGTTTGAACGCAACGTCGTCTATAACGGCGCCAGTGAATACAGTGAAGTCTCGAATATCACCGATTGTGAGTTTCTGACGAAGAGCTAAGAGGCCGTCTTTTATCTGGAACAAAAGTTCAAGATCACATGGATGTGCACTCCCAAAGGATTTAACAAAGTGGCTATTACTAGACTCACCTTGCCCCATAGAGATTCTGGTACATACATTCTACTGCAAGCGGAACACTTCTGTCCATTAAACTCGAATGCGCTTCTTATCGTCGCGTAAACAACCGATTCCACGTCAGCACTCGAGTGGATGAAGTGATAATTCTTGCCGCCGCACTCACCGACTAATTTCGGGTAGTTCCTGTATTTGGGAAGATTCTGACCGATCTGGGACCATAGACGATTAAACGTCGGTACCGAGCCAGTGAAGTTGAGTCCGGAGAGGTGAGGCGACGACGTGACGGTATCGCCGAACACAGGTCCTTCGCAAGGAATAAAATTCACCACGCCGGGCGGCACCCCGGCCTCTCTGCATATCTTAAAGATCCACCAGTTGGATAATAACGCGGTGTCGGATGGCTTCCAGAGTACGGCGTTACCCTGCAATCGCGGCATGCACGTCGACACGTGCGTATTATTATTAGCGCGTTGCTTTGATCGTGACGCTAGCCTCGATTAAAGCGCTGTCAGTATGGTTTGCAAATTACAAACCATCAGTGCCGGCGTATAGCTGAGATTACCGCCAATTGCGGTGAAGTTGAAGGGCGACACAGCCGCTACGAAACCGTCCATACCACGATACCTCATTGAGTTGAGGGTCTGCTGAGTCGGTGAAATTGGTTGGTACTTGAGACTCTCCTTCACGAAATACGCATGCATTTTGAAAAAGTCGATCAGCTCCGCCGCGCTGTCGATCTCTGCTTGGATCACGGTTTTACTCTGACCAAGCATGGTGGCAGCGTTAAGATGTTGCCTGTACTTGGTCGCCATCAAATCTGCTATCCTCAACCACATCTCTAACCGCTTCTCGATTGGCCATTTCTCCCATTCTCGCTGCGCCTTCACTGCGACGTTGATCGCCTTCTTCACGAGTTCCGGCGTCGCCCAGTAATATTTGGCGACTTTTTCCTTGTGATTGTGCGGCTGAAAAATTCATGATTATCTATGATCTATGTAACAAAGGACAGTAAATCACGCAAAGAGTTCTGCTCTTTATGAATACTCAGATAATATCGCATACATGTTGCATAAGATATCTAAAACATGTCTTTTAGATATATTATGCAACATAAATGTTATGTGCACTGAAAAAAAAAATACTATTGATTCAATTAAAGTTTATATTATGGGCTGTCAATAACATAAGTGATTAATTCATGTATATTTTTATTGACATAAAAGCCTCTATGAATATTGAAATAATAATTTATGCCTTTATGTTGATAAAAATATACATGAATTAATCACTTATCTTAGTGACAGCCAGTAATATAAACTTTAATTGAATCAACAGCATTTTTTTCTCAGTGTGGGTAAGAAAAAGAGTAAACGCGATTAGGATAGAAACATACCATGACTTGGTATCTGCACAGATCGGTCTTGATCTCCTCATCTCCTATAACTAATGGCACCTCTTCGCATTCGTTGCTCATCTTATCCAAGACTTTCTCCAGCTCCGCTCTTTCTGGACTGCCCTTCTTGTAGCTAAGAACCGGCTCATTCTCCAGCGGAAAGTCCGGTGGATTCGACACCGGAACTACCGATCCTAAGCATCTGGTGCCGACTCTATCGAATAATAAACAATGCGTCAAGGTACGAAAAGGTCCACACTTGA